AATTTTTCTTTGTCCCACGCTCGTGTCATGTTGATTAATTCACCTTCACATTTCATTACCGAGCTTAAAATTCACCATCTTTATTAACTTATCACTACTCACGATGAATTCGATAGCGTTGATCCTAGCAGCATGCAGGACACCTGTCATATATGAACTCAGTTAAATGACCTTGCTCTCCACGAGTTCTCATAGCTCAGTGGAAAGAGCGCCCGCACGGTGTTCGGGAGGTCATGGGTTCGATTCTTGTCGGGGATTCAGGGGTTGTTTTGTTGTTTATTTCTGTCACTTTTGCCTCGTGGTTTAGCATTGTATTATCGCATTGGGTTAAAATTTATAGCAGTAGTCATTGAGCCACTCAGAGTTGTTTTGTTCATGAAAAGAACTTCTCGAAAGTGTTCAAAATTATTTCTGGAAAATGATTTTTTAACCGCGTGGCCATGGGCCGAGTGCGGTTCATGTTTTACCCATGGTTTATTTATTTATTTTTTTTTGGCAGTGACCAGACCCAAATCCCCTATTATCCAAATTTTGAGTCATGCAACATGTGATATTTTTCCCCCAGAAGCTGTTAAAACATTAATACATGGACAATTTTACAGATATTGTTTTCTTTGTTGTGGGTATAATATATTTTCTTTTGGTTTTATCGAAGCGTTGGATTCAAAGGGAGTAGTAAATACGCTAAAAAAAGTATTATGTCAGCCATAGAATGCGTTGACGTTGCAGCTTTCACTTTCACTACGTGACAAATAAGATCGTGTTTACTTTGCAAGTTTATTTCGCCGGAAGCGACGGTCATTAATTTATTTGCAATTTTGCAAGTATTTCTTGTGGTTTTAAGCAAATGAAGTAAATTCTTTGGCTGTTTCATCGCAGTGAGTTCATAGATCAGAAGGAAAATTAAATATTGCAAGCCAAGCAAAGAACATGTCAGAACATGTAAGGATTATGTCATTGGTAGGGAAATAACCACTGTACTAAAGATAGCCGTGGATAATGCAATTCTTGAATTATGTGACTCGTGTGACTTCTTTGCTAGCCCTTTACTCAAGGGAAAAAACAGTTAAATTTAATTGTGTTTTAAGAAAGAAAGCTGTTGTTAATAGTGTTCGTATCTTCATGCTAATACATATCCTGAAGAAAGTTCCAGATTAAGACTATTATGTCATCGGAGATTTCACAACAGCTACGACTGATGGTGCAATAATACAGTTTGTGTTGATCAAGTGATGTGGTGTCTACAGTAATCATTGAATCATCAAGGATTACTTTGGAATGGGCACTGCGTTGCAACTGTAGTACTAAGAAAACAGTTAAATTTTAAAAGCGCAGCTATAAGATCTAACAGATCTTCTTGTTGTCACTGAACTAGTCTTTGGAGTTTTTTCAATCTTTTTGCTGGACTGTGAAAAGCTGTTTTGTATGGACTGGATTCAAAATGATTTTTCTTTTGCTTGCATCATCATTGTCGATGAAAATCATTTCTTCCAGTGGCAAACAGTCCTAAAACATGAACCAAATTGCATTTTTTTAGTTTCAAACTTATCTTGTGACTGGTAGAAAACTCCCAGGTGGTGTTCAGGTTGAAACTGTCAAATTCCAGCAGTCAATTCAGTTGCAGATATGTAAAAGTTTTGGCAGAGTGAAGAAAAAAGAGGTAAAAATAATAATGTAGCGGCTAACAGCTTCAATTGTTCACTTGGTGATACAAGCATGAAATTTGGCGGGAACATTCTAAATTGTCTATTCGTTCATTCTAGTCGATTAGCCGCTTGAAATTTGCATTAACAAGAGTTTTTTGCAAAATGGCTAAAAATGGGTGTGACGTGATAAAATGGCGGCCATTTTAAGTAATATCCTTACTTCCGACTCATCTTGAAGCAACATTTGAGCAGTTTATTACTCCCTGATTACAATGTTTTACTGCTAGCATCCTTTAGATACAATTAACTATTCCATACATCTTTCAGTTTCTGAAAATGTCCAAACAATTCTAAAGAATTCTTTCTTTAACGGGTGCTCATGATCTCATAGTACTGTTATATACATGTTACATTACGTGCTTATCCGGTATCCAGTACGGTAATTCAATACGCCCAGCAGTTTCTCAGCTGGGTAATTCCCAAACAATTCTTTTTTAAACAACCTCTGATCACGTATAAGCTTTCAAATACACAAGTTACATTACATGCCTACTTCAACCGAATTCTGATATTCAGGACAGCAATTCATTATGCCCAGCAGTTTCTAGCTGGCTAATTCAAAAACAGCTTTTCAAACAAGCTTTTGATTTTGTAACAGTGTCAAATAGTGCTGCCATACAATTTACATTGCATGCCTACTATAGTCAATGACCAGTTGGAGCTACTTTTCACACAAACAGCCACACAAAGCTGTACAGTTCAGCCCAGAACAAAGACATTTGCACCTTCCACAACAGTCCTTCCTGCAGCCACATCTGATTAGTTCTCGACAACTTTCAGCAACTGATGGAATGTCAGTCCAAAGTATCTGCCATGTGTCACCTCGCCTACTCCATCCCTAATTAGCTGGACTTTTTGTGACAGGTCGAGGGAGAGTGGCTTGACCCCAGATAATTGTTCCTTGGTAGGCAGCATGCTTTGAATGTAGCTTGAAGGCAAACTGAGGTGGTATTGCATCATACAGCCTCTGTTTGCGAGCGAAGAAATTCAGTCTTGCATCCTTCACACTTGTATCTGCAATGGACCTGTCATACATGACCACAACAAAATGCTCTAGACTCTGCAGATCAGTGTCGTCAAGAGCTGTCACATACTGACTGAGTTTGGTGAAGGTGGTCGAGACCCCTTTACACTCCTTTGCCACGGAAGGCAGACACACTGTCACATCACGTGAATGTGTAAAAGAATGGGAGTTCACTGGCTTTCTCTGGACCAATTGTGGTTACCAGTTCGTGCACTGGAATCAATCGAAAATTTCCTCCTTGACCAAATGTAATCCACATTTTTTCCAGGCTCGTGGCAATAACTACCACATGCGTGTCGTTTGCCTTAATCATTAAAGCCTTACTGCCGTCCATTGCCGCAGGTCATGCGTGCACAAAAATACGTATGTCTGACTCTTTGTGCATACATGGTGCTAAATCTTCTAACGCAATTACGCGATTGTAGCAGACGTATTCCAAGCACGGCATGTCTGCTTCAGACAAGCGGTCCGCAAGAAAATGGAAAAGTTCAGTCTTGTTGTTGTTATCTCTCAGAAAGCTTTTCCAATTTCAGGGAGTCTTGCTGGTTAGTGTAACCCTTCTTTGTATCCCTTTGCCCCTTTTGGATTGTGCCTCTACTTTCAGGCTGGACTCCTTATACACATCAAACACAATGTCAACTCTTTGGTACTTGGTAGAATATGATCTACCTCTTGGAAGGATGTCCTCATTGGCGTAGTCATCAAATGTCTTTGACGCATGTGGGGGTTGGGAGTTGATAAGAGCTCAGTGATCCATCTATGGTGATTGCATCTGCCTCTGGTTCTGTGTTTGGCATCAAAGTCTTAGACTCAAGTATCTCAACCAGTTGGGATTTCTGGCATGTGTGAAGTTTCCCACTGTCACTGAGGGAAGCTGGAGCTGACTGGTTTTCGTGCTGGAAGAAATCATGCAAATCATACTGTCTGCTTTGACATGAAATGAAGAGTTGGGAAAATAGGTGACAGTCCTCTTTTAGTGTCCTTTCCTTGGAACTTACGCCACTGGAAATTTCCTCTTGCTTGAAGAAAGTGATCTTGTTCTTACTATTTGATAAAACAAGGTGTACTCTTCTTTCTTCAGTCCTTCATTGAAGGATTGGAACTGATCTTTTTTTTTACACTACTAAGAATTCTTACAATACTAACATTACCTAATATCACTGACGCCACTACTGACATTACTTACAATACGACCGTTACTTACACTACAATTACTACTAACACTACAATTACACACTACAACTACTACAGATACTCTGCCTACACAACTGATAACACAAATCTTGCTCTACATTGTACTCTAATTATGCAATTACTTTTTGTGTTAGCAAGATACTTTATATAAAATTACAATACAGGTATTTGAATTATCATAACTGTACATATAAATTT